GTATTGGCACAGTAATGGCATCACTGAGGGAGGTTTCAAAAGAAGTGTTGCTTTCAGCAGTGCACACACACTGTACTTTGATCTATAATGCATATTTGGTGATATGTTGTGCTACTTTTGATTGTAGCTCTTCTGGTTTCCTTCTACTGCTTCCTTATGCATTCTTCCCCCTCATTGTCTTCCTTCCCATCACTTCTTTTTGTAATTTTTTCTTCCTTTTATGCAGACTTAAAAAAAAAAAATCCCTTCATAGTCTCTGCTCGGTTACCACTTCCTATTGCTTTTCACTTTTCTCATCTTCTCCACCTCCTCTTTTCATCCGTGCACTGCCACTTGTTTACACACCCCTCCTCCTCTTGAGCTCTTTATTTCCCTCTTTCATCTTCTCTCTTCTTTCCTCATAATGTATTCCTCCTCAGCTTACCTGTCACAACATGCATCTGCTACATTCACTTCCTGCATGAGACAGCATAAAATCTCTTCATCTCTTCCTTCCCTTGACCGCTGACCCTCATTATAGCCGTGTTACGCTAACCTCCCGCACGACCCAGCTGCGATGACTTTTTCTGCATCGATACATCACAGGCTCGCTCTCAGCACGTGAACCGACCTGACCATCTTTCTTCTTCGTCTACAGTTAATGAGACTGCACTCGATGTGATTGATTCCAAAGAGATCAACATTACCGGGGCTGACACCAACCATTGGACAATTCAGGGATTAAAGGGGGACAGCCTTTACCGCTTCGACCTCAGGGCGTGCACTCGAGCAGGTTGTGGGCCTCCACAGGCCGAAGAGAGCCACACTGATTTTCCAGAGCCAGGTGAGCTAATGAAATGCATTTAACTTGCGTGGTAGTGTGCCTGTTTATTGGATTAATATATGAAAATCCCACAGATAAAACACAGCACTGCTGTGATGTATTCATTCATACAAGGGAGAAACATCATTATAAAGGCCAAGAATTAAACTACTTTGTATAATTCCAGTGAGTACAGGTCAGACTTCGAGCACCAGTTTTTGTTTAGTTCAGCAGAATACAGTAATATTTGTAGTAAAATACACTTTGAAATCACATCAGAAATTTGTGATATTTTCATGCAAAGCTGAGAACAACTACATTTAAATCATTAAAAAACACAAGGTAATAATTTCAAGGTCAGCAATTAAACTAAAGGGCATTTTTACAACATTTTTAGCTCTTTTGTACAAATCCTTCAGTTGAGAATGTCCTTCAAGATACTAAGGTGGGTTTGATGTGCTTGTCTAGGGCAGAAATGTACAAATATGTCTGTGGCTCAAGGACTAATTGGTATTTTGATAGGGGGAAACATGACATTGTAACTAACTAAAAGTGTTAGAAGTCAGATTGTTATTCGGAGCAACAGCAGCAACACTGCTTGAACTCAGATGTATCCAAAATACAATCAGGCAGACCAAAAGAGACCACACTATCAGAGGATCAATACACGACGCTTTGTTCACTGAGAAAATAAGAATTAATAAACTTGCTAACTAAAGAAAGCGAGACCCCTATCAGAAAAGTCCTATCAAAAACATCTGTCTTGTTGTGGTCTTAGTGGATCATTAATGCGTCTCTAAACCAATTCTCAGGAGGGGAAACAAAGCCAAATACTTGGGGTGGGATAAGATGTGCCAGCACTGCACAGAGGATGACTGAAAACAAATGCTATTTGCTAATGAATCCCACTTCAATCAGAAATGTGTATGTATGAAGAGAAGAGAGGATGAAAATGCAGTTTATCAAACCTGCACCTGCATTGCATCAACTCCAGATGACGTAGCACTCCAGGGTGACATGCTGCGCTCTGTGGTTTGCATCTTTGTGGAGAAGGCTTCATACCGCTGAAGGATAATGAGTCCAACACAACTCGAAGCTTTGTAGAACTACTTGAATACCAAAAGAAGCTCAAAAGCCATGGAGCATCGAATCATACCAGGTTATCAGGCTTTGCACCAGCTTGTCCATTCCAGCTCAAGTGCACAATGCCATTACAGCAAAAGCTGGGCAGAGCATTGAGTATATTACAGAATTCTAGAATTTATGTACATGTTTTGAAGATTAAACTTTTTACCCAAATTTATAAGCTCATATCATTTTTTAATGAGAAAAGCTGTATAGAATGCGAAGCAAATGCAAAATAGAAGTATCTTCACAAGCCCCCTCAGACTGTAAATTATATATATAAGACGAGGGAGCTACTGTAACCGAAACGGGCAAATTAAGTGTCAAGCTGCTGCCTTAAAAAGCTCGGTGAAATTGCCTCCCTAATGTCCTTGTAAATGCTTTCCGCAGTTTGCATATAAAAAGGTACATCTCCAGTTTTCGTGTGACAGCGGCTGTGAATATTCAACAAACCTGCGAGCAGAGGATCCGAGTGAGCCTCCGAGTCTGCGGTTTAGTCTTGAGCCAGTTAGAGTTTAAAAGCAAAACGACGATTTGGAAATTTTGAAAGGATACGCTGAGCATATTGAGTGCAGCTCATTTAAAACCGGAGCGCTGTGGTTCCTCTTTATGACTTTGTTTTGAAGTCTGGCGGCGGACGTGTGCAAATATTTTATCCTTTAAAGACTCTTTTAAATAAAGCGATGTGAGAAATTACAATAATGTGATTAAAGAGACTGTAAGTGAAAGCAGGAATTAAGCTGGTGCCACTTTGCTAGCTAAGAAATGCCTGCACCCTCACAAAAGTCTTAGAATTAAGGGCTAACTTGACTCATGTTATACCAAATGAATTTATCAGAGGAGCCAGAAGTTGTAGACTTGGAGCAGATCACTTGCTTAGCCTTGATGTCAGGTAGAAGCAAATCAGTCACATCAGAACATAATAAAGCTGATATTTGACAAAAAATGCTCACTAATTCACAAATAACTACACAGATGGTGGTGGCTTTCATTTATATCTTGAATAAAATCCTCTCCATGAGCTCCTCCTTCTAGTGCTTAGCATCCATTTGCTGGCTCTGCATGTTTTTGATAAAAGTTATTCAGTCTTCCTGAGCTTTTATGCTTCCTTTGAGAAGCTCTGCATCTTGTAGGTGGATGTCCGGCCCGAGAGCCATTAGATGCATTGTTTGTAAATATGGTTGAGTAGAGGCTCGATGCGGAGATAAAATAGCTCTGTTTGAGAGAGCTGTCCTCGGGGCACGTTAGTCACAATGCAGTGGAGGAGATTTATGGAGACCAACAGCACAGAGCAGGGGCAGAGTGAATTTAGAGACGTTAACGGGGAGTGATGGAGTGACAGCAGGGCAAAAAAAGAAAGATGAATGCACGGGAGCTAGTGAGGTCAGGCGCTGAAGTAGTCCTTTTATAGTTCACCTTTTTGACTGAATAAGCTTTTAATGCCTCTCACCATTTAGCTGGGATAAACAGCTGCCTGCCTCGAAAATATTCTGGACAAATCACAGAGTGACATGTCTGAACTACAACAATTACGCAGACCCGCGTACGCGTCCACATGTCTGTGCTTGAAAAGCTTGCAATGCCAGTGAGTTTCTGGAGGGCAAGCCAAAAAAAGGGGGAAAAAAGGGTAAAAGAATGTGTTGAAACATGAGAAACACAAGCAGGAAAAAAAAACAAAGCTAACAGCCACAGAGAACAGCGTGGCACACAGTAGGAAAAATATCTATTTTTCTCCATCAGGTCTCAGGAGATAACAAAGGAGCAAAGATAAAGCAGGCTGCAAAGTTGACAAAAAGCACAGAGGAGCACATGCCTCAAAAGTCACACAAAAATAACCAGTTTCTCTGGAGATTAAATTATTGCTCCCCGACAGCACTTGAACACCTAAGTTGTTATCGGCAACAAATTTGCTAATGGCTCGAACGCATCTATTTATTTACTTTGAGTTTCTTTAGAAAAACAATCACAGTCTGAACTTATACCTCGGATATCTATGTACAGCCCCCCCCCTCCCCCCGGATATCCAGTGTTCAGTCTGCAGATTTTCTTGTTATTTAAACTTTTGCTTGCATGCTGTGCTCTGTTTTTGGATCCTGGATATTTTAATGTAAGCTCAGGTAGCGGCACACTTAATTCGCACCAAATGATGTGAGGGATAATACATTCAGGAATTCACCGCATTCACAAATGAGGTAATATATGTGTGCCACAGGTAAAGATACCTTTTTTCCTCCCCAGTTAGAAATTCAAACCTTGTTTAAATTCATATAACTATGAATAATGTAAACATGCAGGGCTGTTTCTAGCTGTTTGGTGGGCCCAATGCAAGATGTGGTGGGGGGGTGCGGCTAGATTGGTAAATCTAAATTCAACAATCTCCGGTTGACCGAGAAAATAATAATAAAAGGTAAACTGTGAGGCTCCAGGTGCTGCATTTTAATCAAAAAATTATTGTTATTTTTTTTAAATTTAGGAAACAAAATTCTTCAACATGAGAAAACAATAAAACAATAAGTAAATAAACTGGGCTGTGGTCCAGATGAACACAAACTAAATGAAACCATTACTTGGAATGAAAATGTAACCAGTGTTCTTGCGAATGTGCGGACGGCAACACAAGATGAAAGGAAAACAAAATAGCATATTAAAATGCAATAAACGAGCATCTGTTTTGAAGTGCAAGTAGTAAAACCACAGGCAGAGCAGTGTTTATGTTGCAGTTTGAAAGGAACCGCGTGTAACTGTGAACACAGCCTTTATCATCCGCAACATGTCTGCTTGCTGACATTTTTTTTAGCAAGGCGGCTCAAACACCTTCCACCTCACAAGCGAATCTACATTGTTAACAAATGCCTTACCTTTACCCTGTACACATTACTCATCTTCATTTCCCTCCTTTTAAATTTTTTTGGGCTCAAGCTGAATCGGGATAAACCCTTTCGATGCCATTCAGCTATCACTGTTATTCTCCTGCTGAGGTGATGTGCGGCTGTCGACTATCCCATCATACATGCCGACACATCACTCATTACCTGACAGCTGATGATGAGGAGTTTGAATTACCCCACAAACACAAGGCGCAGCTTCGTTTTCTTTGTAGCTTAGTTTTAGGTTATAGCCTACATTTAATACTTAATCATATAATTGCTTCACTAAACACATTAAGGGGTTTAGCTGGCTATAAATGAAGACAGGTCATTTTAATTGAGGCTGAGCATCTGCATCTGTGTATTCCTCATATTTAAAGAAACAGCTCTGAAATAAACAATGCAGCATTTCAGACATAAAAGGGTGAAAAATGTCAAAATGGTTAAGTAACCTCAATTAACCAATAACTATATTGCTAGCTATAATTATATACGTTGCTGGTATTGTTGCTGGTGCTTTTCACCTCTCCAGATGTTATCCTCTTCTCTGTTCTCCATGGAAACACCTCTGTAGCACATGTTTAGCTTCATTGTATGAAGACCAGCCCTCAATATAAGGGACTAAATTACAATACTGGTTATTACCAAAATCATTTTTTATGTTTGTATGTGCAAGCTCTTTGTTCAAAATGACGAATCAGAGAAGCCAGATCAAATTTAGGCAAAAAACAGGAATTCAGTCATTTTTAAAAAACTAAAACTTTTTAGACAGATTTAAAAAAAAATATTTGTGTTTTCTTGTTTTTATTTGCTATATATGCACGTATCGTCACTAGAATAAGATTATTAGTAATTTTCCATAGGTAACTGTCAGAAAAAAAAAATAGGTGTCATCTTTTGGTTGCACAGTGCCCTCTAGTGGTGCAGATGTCAACCAGACTTCAAATCCAAAGCAGCACTTGATGCAGCTACACACACAGAGCTTGTATATGTTTGTGAGAATGCACTTTTGTTCTCCGGTGGCCCTGCAAATGTGTCAGCATGTGTTTGTGTGCCTGGTGTATAAACCTTAAAGCGGGATTTTCATAAACATGTAATCTTCTGCTTCTTCGATTTCTTTTTATCCCTCTGAAGATTTGTCCCAGACTCCAGCTGTGGCTCCTGCTCAGAGCAGTATGTATCACCGCCCGCAGCTGGTGTAGCTAGCCAACATAGAAGTGGTGGTAGAGACAGACGAGGTTGTAGGCGTGTTGGTGTAGCAAGTAGCTTTCCATAGCCTCAGCAAAAACATGTCCTTCATAGTTGTACAAATATAATTTGGGTGAGTCCTGTATGCCACTTCGGGAGAGACAGAAAGACATTTCTTTGTGCAAATCACTTGTTGGAAAGTGACAGTTGTGGTTTAAATTTGCAAGTCAGATTTATTGTTGTGCTGCAGTTACAGGGTGTCTACCGCGGTATAAGTTGCGCTGTGCTTGTGCAGTTACTGCCATTAATGCAGTTTTCCCAGTCGCTCTAACAAATTCCGCCTTTATGTAGTCTCGCTTGTTGCACAATATATTAGACTTGACAGCTTTTGTAGAAGGAATCTAACATCTGAGGTTTCTCTTTCATTCCAGGCTACAACTGCTCTCTCTCTGTTCCCAGCTCTATCTCAGGCAATTCTACTCATCCTCCTTTAGGTATATAGCTCACACTCACACATGCGCAGCCAATATTAAGCCTGTGAGCTCGTCTTGATGTACTTGAACTTTCAAGTAACAACAGTATTCGAGGCATGGAGTTGTTTCAATCTGCTCTGATATCTACTCGTAGTGGTGGGGGGTGCGCCACGAAATGCCAGCTTTATTTAACGTAGAGGGAAAACTAGATGTCACTCCCGCCCACGATCTATATATCTACCCTTTATGAGCCCAAATCCAACTCCACTCAATTAAGTCTGGGGCCGGGAAATGCCTTTTGAACTGTCTTTTTGAAGGGTTTCTGCTAGACGCACTGTTCTCAAGCTGCAGGGGATCCTATTTGCCTCTGCTAATCCTCTTTTCCTGCCTTCTCTCTCCTTTTCTCTCTGCCTGTCTGTGTTTTCCTTTCCTCCTTATTTACTTCCCCCCTATTTCTTCTTTCTTTATCAGTTCCAGCCCTGTTGAACATAAGCTCTTACGTGAGTGACACCTTTGCCAAAATCAGCTGGACTGCCAGAGAAGAGCAGCGGAGCTTGCAGCTTTATGTGGCTTATATGAATAACCGTAAGCTACTTTTCCTGTCCCCGCCTTGCTAAACATTGATAGGAATTTAAGGTTGTATCATGTTCAGGTACACCTAGGGATGTTTTACATTAACACCTAAAAATGTAGCGTAAGCCTCCGTGGTTGCTTCAATCCCTTCCCTTTAAAAATGGATTCAGATGTGTTTAAGTTATATTTAGTGTAACCATAATGGAGAAAATAATAAATAAATGGAGAACCATTTATTAGTCGCCAACAGCACATCCTCTTCTGCTAATACAGACTTGCTGCTTGTGCGCTTCCTGTGCTTGGCTGTGTAGGTGATGGGAACTGGCGGATTTCAGAGGCTGTAAACGCTTCTCAAAGTTTCCACATAATTGACGGGCTCGAACCGGGGACGGTGTACACCGTGCGCCTCATGGCTAAGAGGCTGCTCGATAATGCTAGTATTTTCGAAGACGTTATCGAGACACGCACCAAAGGTAAGAGAAGCAAAGACTGTCAGCGTCAGTAGATTTTAGTGATAACAACACCAGCGTGTCATTATCAAACCGACTGAGTGAGTGACTGACTGTGCTGAACGTGTGAATTTATTCATTTCTTTCTTATGAATCCTTGCACATTTGCTTTTGTCTTCTTCCTGTCTAACATCTGAGTAAAGAGTCAGTGTGACATCAAACCTGAGCTCATCGCATTTTTTTTTTCAATCAAAGATCAAGTTGTTTAAGAGTGCTCGAGTGGTTGGGCCCACCTAATAGACCCGGTGTGTAAAGCTGGTTCTTGAGCTCTCTTTCACTTGTTTTCAGGTGCTGCAAGTCAAGAGAGCAGCTTTTCAACCCACGGCTGGATGATTGGGACCATGTGCGCTGTGGCACTGCTCACCATTGTTGTGGTCATTGCCTGCTTTCTGCGGAAAAACAAAGGTGGCAAGTATGCAGGTACGCCATCGCCACAGCGACAAGAAAAGCTCGCCATGGAAAAAGGTCAGTTAGTCCTTAGCCAGGGTTGAGTCCCCCAAGTCATTTTTAACTAAAATTGAAATCCTAAAACTACTACCAATTTATCAGGATGATGCTTTTTCTTTATAACTTGGGCCTCAACCCTGAGCTCAAACCTGTTTATGCATGTGGGTCACCTTTGCATGCACGGCAGCTACAAGCTGCAAACAATTGGTGCGGCTGTGTTAGTTGTCTTAGTACCGCTGATTTCATACTTGTCAAGACAGACAAGCGGGAATCAGCCGCCTTTGTTGCACTCCTCTCCACTGCTCACCTGAGGAGACCTTCCGAGCTCTTCCATCTCACTATTGTGCTGCCATGTATCAGAGTCAAATTCAGTCTCACAATGAGCCTGCCTGCAAAGTGTTTGTTCACTCTGTTTCTTTCCTCTGAACCTTCATGCTTCCCCATCTTCTGCCCACTCCACTTCTTTGCCTGCTGCAGCTGTAGACAAAAAGCACTGAATTTTTCATCAGCTCCTTTGGATTCCCCCCTTTTGCCCATCCAGCTCTTTTCAAGGAACCCCTCTTTTAGCTTTCTCAAACGCAACTGGTCTTTTCAAAGCGTTGTTTGCACAAAGAGCTGACATCCAGCACTTTGTGCTAGACACGCAGAAGAGAGGGTTTCCATGTAAAGACTTAATGTAATGTTTACACAGATTTAGCTGTTCTCAGATGGTTTTGGTCGTGACTTCTCGATTTCTAATCTTACGGTGTTGAGATTGCGTATCGCTAAGTGGATCTTTTAAGCTTAGATATGTTCAGTTTTGACATTTCTGCAGTTTCCAGAAATACTGCTGTTTGAGTTATTTTCCCTTTGTAGGATGGTAAAGACAAGATCTTCTAAACTAAATCTGAATCTGGAGACTTATGGATGCACACACGAGTAAAATAGGATTGCATCTTTGTGTGAAAGCGCTGCACTAACAATGGTGCTGAAGTGTCTGTCTTGCCCTCTCTGCAGTGAAAGAAAAGGAAGAGCCCCACTCTGACACGGAGTCACAGAAAATGAATGATGACACCTTCTGTGACTACAGGTGAGCTTATACCCCTTTTCTGCACGCTGCAGTCACAAAGATTGATGAGAAATGTCTATTTTTTTATTATCTCAAAAATCACTATGCTATAGTCAAATTAATATGTTGTGCATATGTTAAATGTTTTCTGGCTGAAAAATAATTTTTTTGTCATGTATCACTGTGATGTCTTTCCCTCCCAACCTAAAAGCAAACCACGCATTCATGAGCTTTACCAGGATGAACCTAGAAGCCAGTGTTCTCGTCATTTAATGGGCTAGGTAATCACACGGTGTAGTTAAAAGTAGCGGTTAACACACAGCACAAGCTTTGTTCCCTTTTAGTTGGAATTATGTTCTTTTACTCCTGATGATGTGTATGTGTCTGTTCTGCAAAGTGCTTAAGTCACGTAGTTGCTTTAGGCATCAGTAGGCCATTTGTGTGCTAGTCTGTGTATGCTTTTATATATACATTAATATTTTTTGGGGGGAATATTTGTGCACTGCTTGCCTCCTTTTGTGTGTGTGTTTGAGTGTTTTATTGGTGTGTGTTTTTAAACTTGCTGTCATTCTATGTAACGCAACTTACTGCGTATATTTCTTTGAGATAAATGCTGCAATTTTTAGTCAAGAGGTCTAAATATTAAAATTATTCCATAGACTTCTAATGTCCATAGTTTTTGCCCTCCCTTATGAAAATTCTCAGGTAAAAAGTGAACAAACACCCTTGACTGCAGCTGGGGCAGGCTGGAGGTATCAACAAACCTCGAAATGCATTTGTTTACTTGGCATTTGCACGGCTTCAAAATCCAGCAGAGAAAAGATTAATAGACATGATCAGTCTTTAAAAGATCTTTTTCAGACAACAGCTCTGATACCAGCTATTTAAACTGGGGTTTTTTTGTAAATCTAGACAACAATTAAACTGTGATTTCACTGCAGTCTCACACTGCTGACATGAGCCTGTGTTACTGACAAAGTTGCCCATATGGAAAAGATATATATAAATCTTATAAAGCTTGTATCTGTCTTGTATGAAACTTGTATGAAAAGCATACAAGAGTGAAAACACATATAAGATCCCTTGAAAAATTATATAATGAAACTTGTATGTTTTGGATACTTACTAAAAAAATATATGAAAGTAATGAGAAAGTGACCACTTTCATGAGTAAATCATATATGTTTTTACTATTTCTTTTCCATATGGCCTTTCAAACACAGTTGTGTTGCGTAAAAAGTTAGACATTTGCAGTCGGCCGCATAGTGAAAAACACGCCATACTGTTAAGAGTGGTTTCCACTTAGAAACAGGAAGCTCGTTTAGTTTGCAATTCTTGTTCTCTTTCATGCTTCTTGTTTTTACAAAAGGAAGTTTTCATTTCAGTTTAGCTTTAAGTCGTAGACCCACTAATAGTTCTTCCTGTTTAAAGGGAGTTCTTCCTTCCCACTGTTGCCAAGTGCTTGCTCATATGTATATATAAAATAGTTTAGCAAACTTTAACATGGAAAGATGACTTTAGGGATGATAAAGGTTATTGAAACATAACTGGTTCCTGTCTGTTGTGCCTCAGCTTACTTGGGAACTTAATAGATGCAGATTTACTTAAATAATTTTAAGTAGTTTTAAAAAAGAGGAAGCTCCTACTGCACACGCACAGATTCTGGATACACGATAACTGCTGATGGAAAATATACGGCGAAAAACCAGGTCTTTGAGCCCGAAGCAGGCAGCTGTTGTACTTTATAATAGCTGTTGAATTTCCATTGTTTGCATTGTTTAGCTGCTACGGTGATAATTTTGGGGAATCGAGCGAATCCTATTTTGCTTGACAGCATTGCGGCAACTGTGTGACAATGGTGTGTTTGTTTGTGCAGAAAGCACCTAAAATAGCCTCTTCTGCCTGCTTTGATTCTTCTCGTCATCGTATTATTCAGAACATGATTACTCACAATTGTGTGGTTGCTGCCAATTGCGTTCCTGTGCTTCTTGCCAAGACTGTAATTCTGTTAAACAGGAAAGAATGGATTGTCCAGTGTCCATGACCCTGTTTTTGTATTACGGACCACAGTTACTTAGTGGCTCAGATTTGCTTGATGTCGCAATTGTGATAGTGAAAAGTGCCAATGGGAGTGAAAAGTGTTGCAGGCAATCTACTTAATGAACAGATGCAGTCGGTTCGTTTCAATAATGAAAACAAATAAGCAAGAGACGTGTAAATTAGCAGGTCAAAAATGAGCGGATCTGATGATAGAGCGAGAAATCGACTAAGAAAAAATGCCATCCATGCGTTTCCTGAGAAAGCTGTTCGTTCTGGAGCAAGGGGGAACGCCTGTGGGGTCTCAGAGGCTGTGGCAGCTGTTCTCTTGGTAAATCCAATCGCTCAGTCGGAGTGTTTATCCAGAGTAGGCGTCCCTGTTTTGTTTTTCGTTTTTTCGTGCATGCCGTGTGACGCTGCAGCTATTTATTAAGTCAAATCAAGGAATCTTACTCTCAGCCAGCTGTGGGAACAATCACTTTCTGTAAGATTACAGTTAAAATTAAAAGGACATATTCTAACATGCTCCAGGTCTGAGCATCTAGAGACATTTTTGATACTATCCATCCATTTATTTATTTTTAACCCAGTGCTGTCAAACGCAATTTACAATGTGCGCCGCATATGGGACCCACTTATGATAAATGTGTAAATTTACAGAAAACTATGTTGCTCCATTTCCACAGCTGGCCTGTAATTATAAAAATTATAAAATTCACAGAAAATTCATTATAAAAACGAATAAAAATTCATTTTACTGTAATAGTAGGAAAACAAGAACATCCCTGTTATTTCATTGTTTATCTGTTAGTGTTTGGTGTAAGGGAGCAGTCTTTGTCAGGAAAAACTGTAAAAAATATACTTAAAAGTGTTAAATCTATGCACTCCTTCACATTTTCTAAAGCTCTTTAACGTGCTGGATTGGAGACTTTGCTGGGCCGATTCTGGCTCCCGGGCCTTATGTTTAACATTCCTGGTTCAACTGCTATCCAGTTCATGGGAGACTGGGGCCTTTCTTGGCCATCATAGGGCAAGAGACAAGGTACGCATTGGACACGTGACCTCTATTACAGGGTCAGTATAAACAGTTGTAAAGGTACCTGGCACATATGCGTTTTTAAAATTTAATTAAATTTTGGGTTTTTTTTTTCCTGGACAGCTGTTCTCCTCCTGATGCTCCACATGAAGTTCTGCTCTGTTAAATCAAAGTAGCAGTATTACCGACGACCACAAATATGTTGGGGCACAGCTCCAAATAATCACGGTGAAGTGGTAGAGGACCGAGCCAAAGCTTTGGCACAGCACCCACAGCTTTGGGCCATCCACCAGTCCTATTTATATGCTCATTCTCATAACTTCGCCCCCTGACTTTCCAAATAAATTAACACTCTTAGCAGCAACTATCGCAGCCAAATCAGCTGCCAGATAAGAAATGGTGCAACGTGCATTAAACTGCTAGCCACAAACTTTAATAAATCACATTTGTGGGATTCGTTTAAACGCTCTCCTCCCCAGATTTTGCACTCTGAAAGGGAAACGCACACACAATGAGGCCAAGCAAGAAATAACTGTGTCCACACCCTCTGAGTGACTCATTTCTAGTAGTTTTGCACCGGCGACTGTATTATGCATTAATTGGCTCAATATAGGTTACATGTATTCATTTAGGGCTGCATGCTTTAAAAAAGAAAAAGAAAAAATGAAGTGGTGGCTACGATTCTGCATAGGTGCTGCAAGACTTCCAGGCATCCTTTTGGTAAAGTACTATTTTCTGCAAGGTTGACGAAATGGTACAGAAAGTCTTAAGAATGTGCCCAAGTTTTTTTTTCTTTTTTCCCACATGTGAAGAAAGAACTGGCAAAAAAAAGGAGAATGCTGTGATATTGAATTTCTTTCTGACAAACTTTATTTCGGAGCTCGCAGGGCAGGCGAAACCCTGGCGTTTGTTTGTGAGCCAGTGCAGATGCTTTGCTGCAACTATCTGTTTAGAATGCTTCTCATGGTTAGTTTCATGAGTCTGGTCTGACTACTGTCCCCCCAGAGTGCCCTTAGCCTTACTATGATGTTGTTTTCCTGGCTTTAGAGCTGGATTCAGGGCTCTGTAGTGCCCTTTGAATCTCTAAAGGCAATAGACCACCCACCGGTATGCCACATGTCTGGGGAGCTGACAAGTGGTAATTATGCTTCAGATGATTTCTCTTTGTAGACAGCCCTCTATCAAGCTCTATTGCTTAGCCCCTCTGTCCACTGCAAGAACAGCAGGTGTCATGGCTGGAGCAGGCCGTTAGCCAAGCGTGTGATGCAATTTTTTCCTCAGCCGGTTTATGTGTTTCTTTTTCTTTTTTTCCCCTTCCTAGCCTGGTGAAAGCTCTCATGTTCTCATACTGCTCATATTTTTATGTGCAATTTGGGAGAAGGCAGCAGATGCAGGGAAGTTATTTCTCCAGACACCTTGAAACTAGAATACAAACAACTTCAGCTTCACGATCGGGAAAAATACACCTTGCACCTGAAGTTTTGCTGCCCCCACTCTACCCAACCCCACCAAACCAAGTCAACATAGGTAGACAGGAAGACAAATTTAATTACCTTCTGCCCCCCCCTCCCTTTTCCACCTGTAGCTTTTGAGTGAGCTGGGGCTCAAAAGCACTCAGCCCCATTTTATCATGGCATTCAAAGTCACTGTGGGCGGGCTGCGGCGGTGGCATTCCACTGCTCTTAGATAACAGCCACTTATCTGCAGCGCTCTAGAGTCGTCAGAGAAAGAAGGTTTGATAAGAGCTGAAATGTGGACCTTATGTGGCTTGCATTGTAAACGGCCTCATGAAAGCGGGCAGATAAGATTGGTTATTAAAAAATCCCTGCGAAGGAGAGCCATTTTATAATCTCAGCTTGAACCGGGTCTCTGTGCTAAAATCCTGCTCGAAATGTTGAGCTTTTGTTTGACACAGGTGTCAACTGCAATATGCCTCAAATGGCGCTATCATGCATGTGCCACCTGAGCAACGCAGACGCTCTGTGTTATGAATACAAAGAGAGAGAGCGGGCGCGCGCGCGAGAGAGGGATAGAGGTGTTGCCAAACACTGATCGTTTAGGGAATTTGAAAAGAAAGACAGGGAGGAAAAATATCCTCAGTGCTTTGAGGTGACCCCCACGTCTTGTAGCAAGACACCTGCAAGTTGGCCAGTCGCCCAGCCTTAAATTGGCATCTAATCTCCTCAGCCGGAGTGTGGGCCCATGGGAATACTACGAATGACAGGCTGTTTGTCTGGGATTGCATATGCCCCACCTCCACTCCTCTCTTCCTTCTCCCTTTCTCAGCCTTTACCCTCCGCTCCGCCCTCCACCCCAATACACAAACACACACACACACACCTCCCTCTCAGCTTCTTTCTCACTGCTCTCTGGCAATTTCCATTGCTGGCTCTAAAGAGATTTGAAATTGCCTTCGGTCCTGAAGCCCTGGCAATTAGCAATTAGTGAAGTGATTGTAGCAACCCGTTCCTGCCTCCCTTGTGCTCCCTTTCCTGCTGTGCAGCCGCTGGATCCACCCCTGCCTACTGCCTCTAGTGATGTATTGAAACCATAAGAACTTGCTTCATGAGCCCGTGTTTCTCTTAGCAAGCATTTGGCAGTCTATATGTGCTGATTATTCTCTGTTTGCTGGTGTTTGTGTGTGTAGCTTTTAATTTCGTGTGAAATACGTAGTGCGCAGTGTGCTCGTGTCAAAGACGGCCTCTTAAGGCGACATGTTTTGCGTTGAAAACTGTTTGATGTGCTATACCACGAGTTTATTTTACCCACTGCACCGCTGACCTCAGCCATCCTTCTCTGTTCTTCTTAATGACAGCGACAGCGATGAAAAGCCACTGAAGGGCGGTAGCCTGTGTTCCCTGAAAGGAGATGACGCAACTGGGGACAGTGTCAGCAGATGCACCCTAGGCGACTATGCAGACGGTGGAAGAGAGTTCAATGAGGACGGCTCATTTATTGGGGAGTACTCTGGACACAGGCATAGAGGCTCTGTTAGCGAGCCCAACGGACCCAGTCTTGTGAACGTATAAAAGCCGAGCTCCAACTGAACTGACTTCTACTTGAGATCCTTTCAGGATACTTTTTCATTCAGATTCCCAACATTCAGTGAAGCTCAAACAGCCAAATAAGGGAACTGACTCAAGCAAAAAGTTTAAAAGCGGGTAGAAGTTTTGCCCACAGCCTTTAATGGTAAGAAAAAAGGGTGGAAAGTGTGTTTTTGTACATCCTGTATGAAAAGTGATTAATGTAAGATTTTAAAGTTTGATAATTTTATTAATGATGAAGTGTTTTTAACCTTTCAGCCACAGTTTTACATCTACTGTAACAAAGGCATACGATAAATCACTTTCCACAGAGTAAGTGTGCATTTAAACGTCAAAACATTTTTTTTACACAGCAGATGAAACTAACACATACAGTAGATATGCTTATGTGTTTGCAGCATGTTTACATATTCATGGCGTATAGTTCAACGCAGGGTGTCGTATTTATTAAAGACAGAATCACTCTTATGATTACAATACTGTTCTTTTACTGTACAGTTTGGTTGTTAATAAGCAAATGTCAAAGTCGATCATTTGTAATTTTTTTTATAATCAAAATGTTGATGTTCTTTTTGTGTCAATATATCAAACGTGTGTTTTCTTGCTTTTATATATCAAACAGACAAAGGTTTCAGCAGCATTTATTCGTTTTTAGAAAGACAGATGAGTTATCTTCTTGCATTTGCAGTGGAGTGCAATCATGAAGTTTAAAAACAAAAAGGTTTCACCCCAAGCCCTCAGCACTCACAAGTACAACAATTTGTCATAAACCTATTTGTAATTTTTTGGGACTTTTTCAGTTATGTGCCTTAAATATCCAGGATATAACAGGATGAATCACTCTACATCCTCGAAGAATTACCGGGAAGCAAGACTTTTTTTCCCCTGTCAAATTCTTAATGTCAGGTACATTCTCTTCTTTTTCCACTTGGTGCAATGACTCATCAGCATCGGTTCATTTTTGGCAACTTAGAAAAAATCCCGTTGAAGCTGAAGAGAGATGTCCTCGCATTGGACGAGGGATGGAAATACATTATGGAAACCCATTCTTTGTGAAATTTCATTCACAAGGCAAAACACTGAAAAATGATACACTCGTGGCTGAATTAAGCTCGACTTTATGAAAGGTCAAACACACTCTAAATCCCCACAATATTTTTCCCGTTATCTCTGCAGTACGTGCTGCAAATCGCCACATGCATAATGCATGTTGCTAAAATATTCATTAGGAATATAACTCAAATAAAGTTGAAATTTGACCTATTCGATAAGCAGAACTAAGAAAACTGGGATACAGCAGTGCTAAAGGTTTCTTTGGTTAGATGCTCATTTTTAGGTGCAAGATTAACCTTTGAACCCTCTTAAGGTACAAAGACCATTTGAAAACTAAAGGAGATCCTTGTGGAAAGCATATCACTTTGTATTTCAGAGAAATACATACCTATACTTATAGAACTGCAACTATTTAAAATATATTAAAGACAAACATTTGCACACGTACTAAAGAACATGAGAAAAGAACAGTGGATAATAAAGAGAGCGTTAAAAAACAACACAAGAGGTGATGTGGTAGAAAGTTTCGTTGTGAAATATAGTCAACTTTTTAGTCAATCTCTTTCCCATTACTGTACCAGGTCCCAAGGCTCCAATTATCTGAACCAAAGCGATACTCGCACTTCCCTTCAAGTTCTGAGGGGAAAATGTTGCACCTTTGATGAGGCAGAAATTCCAACTAACGAAGACGGGCGATGATCGACTAATCTGTCATTTGGTGGGAGCCTCTTTCAATCACTCAGCCCAGCTATCCCTTTGCTTCACTCTGTTATTTTTGAGCTGTTAAAAACAAACAGCCAACAGCTTTCTTCCATATTTAACATATTTGTTTGTTTCAAAATAAAAAAATAAGTAACTAAAAAAAAAAAAATCAACAGCTTCAAATGTGAGTTCAAAATTCACAAGACAGCAAGATGGATAGTGGGTTACACATTTTTGTAAGTCACAATCTGAGCATTTAGTAAACTTTTCTATTATTATTATTATTTTGGAGCAGCGTTCCACTTGGCTTGTTACATATCTCTGAAATACACCTGATGCCCTTATCTTTCCTTTTGAATGCACAGGTTCCATGCAGCTCTATAGCCTGTCCACAGCCTTGTGATTTTAAAGAGGCATTCATGTTGTAATCAAACCAGACTTGGGATAGTGGAGTTGAAAAGCACTCTATGCTCATGGCAAGATAAAGGTCATTTAAAGAGATAATCCCAGTATTGTCAGGGATTACGCCCTCATCCGTTTTAAAATTGCTTTCTCAGTGAAACGTTAAAGCCTCTAAACAACAACAGAAGATTATTCTAGTCAAAGCTCTTGCGAGTGTCACACAGCCAGCTTCTTTTCCTTTTTTTGGGCTTTACTAAATCTATTTTGAGGACCTAGAAGTGACCCTTGCAAATAAAGTTATAATAGCTCTGTTTTGGAACGATTAGAGGTCAGGCCGTTAGTATCATTCAAATCCTCGTTCAAAGGACTGCTAGTACTTGTTGTAAAGCATTTTGCTGTTGTTATCACTGGAGAGTGCAGCACACTCACACACAAACTTATAGATCACAGCCCGAAGCAGATCACTCCCTTTCAGTCGATTTGACTGGAGTTGATATTTAGGCCAAGTGCCTTGGAAACTGCCTGGTGGGAGGAAATTGATAGTATGCTCATGCATGCTGCGTGTTTGCCTCGGCATGGTACCAACTTTAAACCGACTGACGCTGCAAGGAGAGGATGCTGTGCGAAAACAAGTCGTTTTCCCGGGGTGCCACATATTGCAGTTATGCTACAAAAACCAAGTGAAAAAGAATGATCTCATCAATATTGAACGCTGTGTGGTTCACGCAAAGGGCAGTAGTGACAGTTGTTTCTGAAGATGCTCTTAAGGAAGATCTTTTTTGTTTTGAAGGAATGCACTTAAAGCTTTTTCCATGGGATCAATATCAGGAGTTAACTCTGCATTAGATCCAGTCGGGCCTATTTAAAGCAACACATAAAAGTTTGCATGTTTAATCTGTGAGAGGTTTGCTTGAGAAAATGGTTAAAAGTAAAGAAAGGTGGGCGGGCGTTGAAGGTTCCTTGGCAACATTACTTTCACTCAAGCATCTTTCAGCAACAGTGCAGGGGGAGAAAAGTAGCTAAGATAGACAGCTCATGACAAATGACAGTGTAATATATTTTTTTAAGGAGGATGTGGGATGCTTACTGTTTTACCAAAATCCAATGCAAACTAACAGGAGACAAAAAGAACAGCTGTGGAGCAAGTCATTGTTTCGACACGCTTTCAAGAAACTAATGGGAATAGTTGAAGATGCATTTTGTCTGTCTCTCTCTCAGTCTTTCATTAAGTTTCCTAACGCATACCTTCTATTGATTTCACTTTTGAAAGAACGAAAATAAATCAAATCTAAATGCATCGATATCTCAAACAAGATCTGTCACAGTCGCACTCAGAACTCTCGTCTAATTTAGCTTTTCCTCCCCTGCCTCTCATTCTTTTGTCGTCTCAACATGGTGCAAGACTCACCTGGCAAAATTTAATTTGTCTCACCAGAATTCAAATAGAATGGGATGATTCTGCATACAGAGAATCCATTTAGAGGGCTATTATTTCCCCAGTAAACTGCTTTAGATGCAAGCCCAGACACTCTCAAATGCCAGCCAGCAATTGA